TGATTTGTAATACATCCTTCTGTTACATAAAAACAGGAAATGAAAATAACCTAAATAGTGTATATGAATGTAGCAGGAAGTTATAAGTAAAAATGTGCTTCTATATGTTTTAAAAAGTGTTAACTTATGCAAACATAATTTAAAATTAATGAAATCCGTAAGATTAAAGAGCGTCAATTTTTAAATCCTTCCTATAGTTACACTATAGATATTAATTGGTTATCGGTAAATACACTTACAGTTTTTCATTCACGAGGGGCGGATCAAGTACTCCAACAGTTTGTTGGATTTCCTGGGGCACTTATTGCGCCTGGTTATTAGCAAACCTATTTTTGTATTCATTTAGGGCAAAATTTATTTTAAAAACTTCTACATTAAAGAAAAAATTGTTGTTACCTTCAATTCAACATTTAATTATAGCAACTACGTTTTATCAATTTACAATGCACATTTTCATTCCTACCCTGATTTGATAAATCCGTTTGAATCGAAATAAAAGACACCACAAAGTATGACACCTCTGTTTCATATTTGGATATATTACAAGAAAAGGGCGTTAATGGTTATTTGACAACAAAACTTTATGATTAACGTTATGACTTCATCTTTTCTATCGTCAGCTTCCATTATTTATGCAAAATACCATTGTCATCCGCATATGGAGTTTATATCTACCAATTGTTTTGATACGCAAGAGCTTGTTCTACGTACGAACAATTTCTAAAATGAGGCATGCAAATTGTTAGGCCATTATGTTCACTCTGAATTGTCTACGGATTTTTAGGCTAGCTTATCATGACAAGGAGCAAGCGACGGTTTAGACCGGTCAACACGGATGCGCACTCCTCCATGGCATCTCATCCAGTCTCTATTTTCACATGTCCCTTGTTGGTTCTGCTCACAGTTTGTATTGTTTTAATGGACTCTTGAGCATGATCACTGATCGCTATATCTTTTATTACAAAGCATAATATTAATCAATTCGCTTTGGATTTCAATTCGTAAAATATGTACTTTAGTACAGCCATGTATATGTATGTAGAGGATTTTCAATACATTTGTTGTGATATCACATGGCTTTGTTGAATAAATGTTTCACTGTAGGTGATTCAAACAATTACTTTTGCCATTTTTCATATAAATGATATCACTGAATTCTAGGGTACCTGAAATGAGTTTGGGAAAGTCATATTAATACTTGTATACTAAAAACTAGATGAAATCCCGCTCAAGCGCGGGGAATTGAATTTTTACCACTACTCACAGAACAATTCCAATATATATTACAGTTTCTACTGACAGTTAAGTACAGAATTATAGCAGGAAGAAGTTACTTTGTTCAAAATCCCGCAGTTAGTTTCGGTACGTCCTTTGTAAAAACTTGAAAAATAACAGTTTCATTAATTGACGTTTATTTTCATACAATACCTGTTATACTATGTTTTAGATACTGTACTTCTGGTGCTCTTATTCTATTTGCATCAAGGATACAAGAAGCGATTATGCACATTTTACTGATAAATTTGTCAGCATATTTTTTTGTAGATATTTGGCTTTTAACGCCCTATGCATAGTCCAAGTATTTGATATAAAGAGCTGTATTCAGGGGGAAAAATGACATGTATTGATCAGAGCACAAATTTTTAACAGCGTTAGTTATATTTGAACAATACCATATTCATTAATTGATATTTTCTCTTTACATGTAAGCAAGTTTATTACGAAATAAAAACTGTACTTCGGGTTCGTTGCCATGATGCTCTCAATGGCGAATAAAACACATTTTACAGATAAATTTATTAGTACAACCTATTAATAATATTTCGATATATAAATATATTTGCAACTTATAGTGTTATCAATGGCTTTAAAATCATTTCCATGACCATTCACACCAAAACTTTTTTTTTAAATAATCGCCTCGTTTTTTTTTTTAATTTCGGTCTCGATGCTATGTGATGTTCTAGAAATTTCCATCAAGATTAAGATATATCTTGTTTATAGTTTAAGCGAATTTCGATATGATAGTCACAGATAACTTATTGAATGTGTAAGGTTTTTAAATATAGATAGAGAAGATAGGTGATGTGATCTCTGTAATGTGGGAGAAATTTGAGATGAGTTTCACTATATTTTTAATTGTAATTTTTTCAACGATGAAAGAAGAAATTACATCCTTGAAAAAGTTTACAAAGTGACAAATATCAATAGTTTTGCTAACTTGTTTAACTGTGATGATAAATTTACCTTAATTGGCTTGGCAAAATTTTGTAAGATTGTAATGTCTTTATTTCACTCTTGAATTCCTTTCAATACCTCTAAATTAAAATTGTATATTATATATGTTAATCCTTTGTTCAATTTTTACCTTTTCATTGTTGATTTATTTCTTGTTTGTACTTTTATTTCTCATGTGAGGCCATTAAGTGAAATAAAATAATTCAATGTTTCAATTGTTTCAATGGTGAAATACGAAAACGATTTGTACATTTTTTGCTTTTTAATCAGTTATCCAGACTTAATTCTTTTATATCAATGAAATCAAGTTTTAATTGAATAATTCATTGAAGACAATTTATGAAATAAATAAACGATTGCTTGTTGTCAGTTTCCTTAAACATTACCAGTACCTTAGATCCGCCAACGGTAACTACCGCCCTACTCTCTTTTTTGCTATTCTAGGGCTGTTTATCGAAAATGAAAGTATACTTTTAATCAAATTTACGATAATTACTATGCCAGTGATATCTTAATATAGTTTACGGACATCACCTCATACCTAGTGTATTCTAAGAGGAGTAAGTATAAACTCTGGTGCAGGAGTTTCGGAGTTTATTTGCAAAATGCATTAATTTATAAGTATAGATTCCATAATTTCAACCTACCGACACATTTGATAGTATTTTCACTCTGTATCGTAATCTATATCAAAGGGAAGTATTTACACACTCTTCTCAGGCAAGATTAGCAAAGTCTTCTAATGGATTTCTACAAAAGATTTTAAATTTTTTCTTATCATTCGCTTGAGCTGGAATCATTTAAATATATATAAAAAATTCTATCTCTAATGAGAGCCCTGTTACTACGGACCAGTATATTTTTCAATACCATATTGAACATGCCCAAATTTTATCAAGGGTAATGAAGCTAAATATTCCTTTAAATATTCGGTTATATAGACAGTGCCTTAATATTTTAGACTACATTTAAGAAACATGAATTTTGCAAAAGAGAACTACTCTATTTTTCACGCAGTTTGAGATAACGCAGTTTGAAATAAGGTTTAAAGTGAATGACACTCTCCGCATAATGATAAGTTAAATTTCCAGTAATTTGTCATCATTTTCCATAATGACCGCGACGTTATATACTGGTAATTCACGGAGAGAGTGCACTGTGATATTCTATGGGGACACTGATCATTCCTGCATTTAAAAAACATATTTCTCATGGTCCATCTCGCAAACATAAAAATAAACCTTATATTATTTGCACACTGGCTTATATAAAGACAGGTTGATAATTATATAATTTTGGGGTAAAACAAATTTTAAAATGTATATCAAAATTTCACAATAAGCGCGAAAGATACCAGTTTCCATTGGAAAGAGTGACACTGTAAGCTACATGTAGGCCATTCAGCAAATTCTGATGTCAAGTATTACGTGTGGTCATTCATTGATTTTTTGTGATAATTACTTCACATGAAAACTTTGTATACCAATATATACATGTTTGTATTACTTTGATGTCCACTAAAACAAGTGTTCTGCTGACCGTTTCTCAGGTTTATTTGTGCACTCCCCCTTCTAAACTGAAATTGCTTCCTACATGCCTGAATATTATCTCAAAATATTTATCAACAAGCAGGAAAAAAATTGGAATCTTGATTAAACAGATTAAACATACATCACTTGTTCCGTAACAAGAGAGATGTACAACGCAAGGAATAACCGCCCTTGCCGCAATCCAGCATCGAAACTCATCCGTACGTACGTGTTGAGGAACTGAACAGAAACAAGCAAAACGATGTGGATTGTATATGGACTTTGAATATGCGATGCATAAAGCACTAAGGCAGAAATGTCCTGCTCTGATATTGACTAGTAGAATTTATTTTTTTACAGGTCTGGTAAAGTATTAATTTAGGACTTACGACAGAATACAAAGATTGAAAAATAGTCAAATCGAGACATCGTTCAGTTTGTCCATTGATTTAGCTTTCCTGGGAGTAAGTGAGGTTGAAAACAGTTTTGTTGAAGATGATATGTCAACGCACCACAAGAACCCAGACGTTCAAATTTGAAGACTATATCCTTGAAACGTATGTGTCACCAGATTCGCAGTACATGTATCCTCCTCCTGTTTTGGACAGCAGAACCTTGCCTAAATTGAAAACGAACCAATAATGGATCGAGATCATTTCATAAGAATTTCAATGCACAAATCTGCAGCGGTCATTCTTCAGTGTACATACTTATTGATGTTGTGAAGTAAATATAGGTAATCAAGGCGTGCTTGCTTATTTCGAGCCTCATTGGACAATTATTAGATGCAGTGTCATTGAAGGACCTCATAAAAGTTGTTGGCTATAAATACCTAGCTAAAACTGATTTCTGAATTTGTAAACAGTATCGATCAGTAATGTACAGCTATGTGTTCTAATTTTGATCACATATTTTATGTACAATTTTTATATGTATGGAGAACGTAAATAACAATTAAATAGTGTTTCATAACTGACTATTTTAACATTTATCAAGTATTTTATTTACAATGCTCAGCTTTTTTTTTTTTTTTTTAATTTTTTAAGGAATAAAATGAGGTAATAAACTAGTACTTTTTAACTGACTCTATGGTTTTCACAAGTATTCTCCAATTTTTATGCCCTTTCAAAAAAAAAAAATCCACTAGAATGAAATTATTTTCTCTGCACAATTAAAAAAATTCCCAAATTTGTCAAATGAAAGTGCCAACTGAAGTTTTTAATATTTATTGGGAATACCTTGTAAGACAATTTACATACCATCATTTACAAAGACTTTCAATAAGGAAAGTCATTAAATTTAAGAGACCACAAAAGCTGTTATTTATGTACATTTTGCATTGAGAATTAAAGTGGAATAAAATTATACAACTGAAAGGACGTGTTTGGACGCATACATTAGATTTCTACTCTGTAGTCGTAAATTTCAAACAAAAATGTCGTGAAAGAAATTGAATGCATCTAAAATCATAAATATATCACAAATCATTATCTTGCAGCAGTTTTATCATGCACAAAACATCGCTTAAGAACTAATAAATAAGCCTTAATAAAGATGATATACTTTTCATGCTTTGCTTTACATTAATTGTTTGTAGAATTAACTAAACGTCATTTATCACTATATACACAGTCATGTATATGTACAATCAAATAACATGTTTTATCTGTAATAAAAATATCTATTGCAAGCATTTGTTTGAAACATTAACACAGAAATAGTCCAACTAATGTATTGATTGTGATTCGATATTTTCTTTTAATTCTGTGTACTTGTAGAATTTTGGTAAATATTTCCCGTACGCATGCTCCACTGTGATGTTCTTGGAGTTTCTTGAATTTGTATCTAATAACTGTGAGGATGCTAAAGACCTAAAAAAAAAAGTTAATTATCAAAAATGAATTTGTAATTTAATAAGCATTACGTATATAGAAATAAGAGATAATACGTTTATAGCTAAAAATGCTGACGAACTTGTATTACTTACAAGAAAGAATTTGACAGTGAACTGTTCAGATGCTCTACAGACTTTATGCTACATGTAGATTTGTTTGTCCTTCCTGTATCGTCTAGATTTGATTTAATTCTGTAAAAGTGGTCAATACAATATCACAAATAAAGTATTCCTCTGTCTTCTTGAAGTAGAATGAACTAATATATGCACAAGAGCTGATATTAAATATGAACCATGTTTCTTCTTCAGTTTCTTTTAAAGACCCACATTAAAATTTTTCAAATTCTTTAAAGGCGAAGACTTAATTACATTCCTGAAACGTATTTTAGAAAGGCGCTGTAAATTTTTGAAGTTGTGAATTTTCCAGATTTGTATAATTATATTGTCCAGGTGATGATTGCAAAAGATCAATAAACTTAAAATGAAATCAATACTTACTGTTCAGAATTACATGAAAGCTTCGACATAAGTTCAGTGTTGAGGGTAAAAACTGATGGTGACGAAATATTGATGGACCTAAAATAAAAGTATGGTACATTTGTACATCACAGCATATTTTTTTAAAAAGAGGATTTACAAGTGTTTGAATGCTCCGTTATATTCTAAATTTCTTTGCATCCTATAATATTAAAACAATATTTTATAATACAAATTTTATGCACAATTTTCCTGGACAACTTTTGATGTATGAAAGAAAATGTCTGAATATTATTAAAGACATCGAGTGGAATCAAATGTACTTCTATGAATATGTTTTGATAAAATTTACAATTTATCCGTTTAATTCAAATTAATAGTTGCCAAAGGAAAATACACAAACATTTGATTTTTTTCCCACAATACTAATGCTTTTTTCTTATATTGAAGATGTAAATCACATTTTAAGCCTTTTTCTTCATTTTCTTATTATTAATGATGATTTTTCGTTAAGGAAGTTTTAACTCACTTTGAATTTTTTCCTGTTAAGTCTGGTAAAGATGAGGATATCGAAACTAATCTATCATCGGATTTTAATGAGAATTCAGAGGAACAATATGAAAGCTGTGTGACTTGACTGCTCCTTCCCGAGGACTCCGAGTAACCGGAAGAAGAAGTTCTGAAGGAGACATCCGATGAAGAATCTTCTAAGCTGGAACTGAAAATAGAGTTTAAAAATCTTTATAGAATAAGGTTTTTGTTTCTGAAATATATTTCCATTCCATGGATAATTTGAAATTACAAATATGTTGATTTTAAGACTCAAATATATTTTTTGTCTTATTATTGTCTTCAAATATAAATTCCAAGTTTATTATAGTTCACCTTTTGTCTTTGCAAAATACAATTACTTAATTAGAATCAAATCTACAGCTTAAAATGTCTGATTTAAAAGTGTTCGTTTGGGGTCTGCAAGTAAATGAAAATTTAATAAACTACCAATAATATTTTCCGTTGTTTCATATCTATTTTCAAAACGTGCATAGTTTTCTTGACTAAATAATGGATTAAGAATTTATAGTATACAAATTATAAGGGTCAAAGCACGTGACATAAGTTAACTGTTTCATTCAAAGAAAGTGACAATTTTGTAACAAAAAAAAAGTAACATGTTGTTATTATAACAAGAACAATGCCAAATCTAATATCACAATGTCTCTATTTACAAAGTACTCATCTATCTACAATTAACTACAAAGGTAAGACATGGGATATCAATCGTAACACTACTGTGTCATTAAGTAAACATTTATTATCTTTCCTCACTGAATTCTCATTCATAAAAAGTTAAAAGTACATGTATGTCTAAAAGATTGTGGATGGCTTGGCACTTTACTTTGTTCTATAAGGTTGTCCTCTTTTTGTACATGTACTGTGTTCAAAAGGGGGAATTTCGCTAAACTCGGAAACTTTTATCAATGGTAGAAATTTCTCGCAAACTTAAAATGGAGTTGATAAGCTAAATATTAAACATTAAAAAAATCCATGCATGGATTAACGAATCTTATTCCTTTTAATATAGCATGATTAAAAAAAAATCTATATCCGAAACGTTTAAATGTTCATGGTTGACGTTACTTCTACTAAGAACAGATTCTATTATGTCTTCACTACTTGGAGTAGACATTTGCTTTTGCTTTGGTGCCTGTCTTTGATGAATGAAAGGTCAAAGTCATATAGTTTTGGACAGGAGTGTAATTGTCATTGTGCAAGAAGGAAATATCTGATGATGTCAAAACAATCTTTGTATCTATGTATATTTTCAAAAATCCAGAGTATTTAGATGTCTCTACTTTCTTGATTAATGGCAAATAAAATTTGCGAGAAAATAATTTACACCTATTTATTATTCGCCACAGAAACTAATTTAGTTTAAGTACAGTAAGAAGTAACTATGATCGCTTTGTGAATGACAAAATACGGGACGCTTTAATCTGAGGGAGGTTAAGCCTTGATCACGAATGTAAGAAATTGATTAACAGTTTTTCAACGTGGGTGTTTTTTGCCGTGTGTTTTATCTTTAGAGAGGGTTACACGTGTACTTACTTTGTTGAATATTTATCATAATCCTTCTTCTCCTCCTCGCTTTGGTTTACACGGTGCTTGCACGGCTGTTTCAGAAGTCGTAGAACAAGTGCGAGGATTACCAACACTATTAAAGTAGTCACTGCTCCTATTAATACCCTATCCTGTATGCTGAACCCTGTGTCCTTCTCTACAACTATAGAAAGTGTTTCATTTCCTGAAATTTTCCATTCGTCCTCCATTTTTCTGCACTAAATTTAGGTGCCAATTTATATTTTGTCAGATGTCCTCTATCCTACAAGAAATAAAATTGTGTTCCGTGAATAATTTATTCATTCATTTCATAATTTGTCTGTTCTCAAAATATGCCCTTTTGTCTGTTCTCAAAATATGACTTGTATTATGAATTGAGAGAAAATTTACAAATAGTCAATTAAAATTGGCATTCTTCCAATTCATAATATGCTAAATTTCAAAATATACCTGTTAATTTATAGTTATGATATGTTCATAAATTGAAAGAAAAATGTGTAAATATAGTCACTGCATTAAATTTGGCATTAATTTGCCTTATAATTCGTTTGTGCTCAAACATGCCCTGTGAATTAATAGATATAAATGTTCATAAATTGAGAGAAAATGTATAAAAACATGCATAGTAACTACATTACAGTGGAACATTTGAATACAAAGTGACAAAGAAATCTTGATTTAGTATATAGTTTAAAATTCTGTGAATTCTAAGACTTTAATGCAATATAAGTACCACGGAGCTGAAATTCATCCTTTACTTTTTGAGAAAACAATCCTAATTTTTGTCTGATGATTTTTTTTCCATTCTTAATTTTGAATGCGTCGGTAGAGTTTGTTGACATCATTGAACCCATTCATCAGGACCCTTGATAACACTTAATTGTTTAACTCGGTCGTCATGCTTTGTTTCTTTTCTGTAGAACACTGTTACACATGACGTAATGTAGATTATTCAAAATATGTGACGAACTGCAGTAGATCTAGACACTTGACAACCACGAGTGCAAACAGGTTCACGGACATGAATCAAATAGTGCAAGGCTTGGCAAAGTAAGGGAACTGTCTAAAGTCGACTGTAATTTTCTCAAGCAGGTAAAAAAACATTTCACGCCCACTTTATGTAGATGAAAATTATATCAAAATCGGTCTGGTAGAATAAATTAATGGTTGATTAGTTGATCAAGAATTCGATTTATTTTATCAGAATTAAACAATAACTGAATTTTTGAAATCATTAAACGTTTTACTTTGTTTACTTTGAAATTTCAAAAAAATACAAATACCATTATTCATGTAAGTTTACCTTGCTGGATTTGAGGTTGAAAAGGTAAAAACTAATCAATTTGACCCATTTTTTAAAATGTTCCTTACTTTCAGTGATTTTTTTCTTTTGTTATCAGTCTATTAATATATAATGCAGACAAGCATAAGACTTTTTTATCACTTTTTCAGGCGTTTGTCTGTCTAACTACCACAAATATCTTGAACCAGAATGAAAGATTTCTAATTTAGCACAATGTCTCTTAAAATACCAGAATTTCTAACCTCAGAAATCTTGAACTTACGTTTTAATCTTTGTTTCTGTTAAAATCATATGATGCGCACTTCAACTTTTGAAATGGTTAAATGAAGGACTTTCTAATTTAACCTGTGTATACTTTGTTAAAGGATCTTTTGAATGTTATCAAAGGTTAAGGAAACATGACCTTGAGCTCGACCTTGGACATGCATTTTGTCTTGAACTCTATTGACCTTTTTTAAAGCGATATTTCTTTTTATTTGTAGTAATGCTGAAAAACTTTTTGTATAGTGTATTGGAAATGTTTAATTAGACAAGAAATATGAAGTCTTAATCGTGACATAGTCAGAAGAACCACTCTCCATGCAATGTCATTTCAAGCTCTATCTATGAATAAAGAAATGTTCTGAGAAGTTAAACTACATTCACATATACAGCCAATTACCTAGGTGAGCTCTAAGAAATAAATATAAGCTTCATCACCTGCATACGGGATATATATCTCTCAGTTGATTCGATACGCAAGAGCATGCTCTACGTATGAACAATTTCTAAAACGAGGTAAATTATTGACAAACAAGTTGATGAAACAAGAATATCAGCTGTCTCGTTTAAAGTCATCATTTCGTAAGTTCTATGGTCGATACAATGACCTTGTCAGCAAATACAATTTATCATTGAGTCAAATGCTGACTGACGTTTTTCATACTAATTGTTAGGCCATTATTTACACACTGAATTGTCGACGGATTTTTCCGTTATTTCCCGATCATGACAAGGAGCACACGGTGGGTGTGACCGGTCGGCAGGGGATGCTCACTCCTCCATGGCACCTGATCCCACCTCTGATGTTTAGAGGTCCGTGTTTGCTCTGCTCCTATTTTGTATTGTTTAATGGACTTTTGAGCTTGAATACTGTTCGTTATCTCCATATATTTCATTGCCTTAGGGCTCATGAATTCCAAATGCTACATAATGGCATGACCATACGTTTTAGACCAGTCTATGGTGTTTGATCAAAGATTTAGTATAAAAGTGTGTTATATTAAAATATTGCAGGTTCATCTACTTCAACTGGACTTTGAAAGTAGATTTGAAGTAGATCCTACTAGAGGACCATCTGTGTAATGCTGCCTTACTACAGTTTTAGTTCCGCGTAATTTTGCGTGAAGTGCCACTCGCGAAATAGAATTTCTGGAGTTGTTTTTTATATTGCTTAAGTAAAAATAAAACCCTCGATCATCAGTCCACTTACGAATTTATGTTCTCGCGATTTAACGACTATGAGTTATTTGGCAATACTAAGTACTTGCGTAAAATAAAGAGTAAAATAAATCTTAAAATTCTTAAAATAAAGAGTCTGAAGAATATAGTACTATTTTTTAACGACAATGCCTTCAGGCATTATTGTACAGTATTTTACAAAGGATTTGTAACTTCATAATACATTTATGTAAATTGACAAATCAGTTATATATATGAAAGAAATATTCACTTATATTAACCCTTCACCACTAAATATTAAGCAGATCTTGTAAAATAAAGTATTTGAATATTGTAAGATCTGAGGCCGCAATCTAATAATTTAGACGCTTAAAGCCACTTCTTGAATGTTTCAGATATAAGATCACCTTTACCAATTCGGCAATAAACATGAAAAGGGTAACCAATTATAACGTGTATTTTTGACTCAGAGATGTCTAAAACTGTTGGCTATAGATAATTTTCTTTTTATTACTTTTTTATATTTTTTTTCTTAACATGGATTAGGAAGCAAATTCTACAATTTAAATAAATCCTTTATTGACGCCACAAATGCAAGTGTAAAGAGGGTCATTAGCGTTGGAGGCAATCAGAGATGACAGAGAGCCAAAATTTTCTAACATTGGCTTTTTATCCCCTCGCGCAACTAGTTGCGGAGGGGATATAGCATCGCTACTGTGCGTATGTGTGTGTGTTAGTGTGTCCGTTACACCTTGTGGGCAAGATTTAAAGAGAATCTTTGCACCATCATCTCTCAGTCTTCACATACTTATGTGGCATTGTAAAAGGACGAACCCTATTCATTTTCAAGTTAATTGGTGATATAGTTCTTAAAATATCGCGTTTTTACCACCTTCAAACCCTGCAATTTTATGTACGAGTTGACAATACTCACTTCCGGTAAATTTAACAGATTAAAATTCGGGTCATTTCGATAGAGCTGCTTCGGTAAGTTCTACTTTGTATTCGCGTATTGTCATATTATTGCGTATCTTGAGAATGTTTCTATGAATTAAAAGTGTCATCTCTGTCACTGAGTAACTGAAATAATTTGATGAACGTCGCAGTTTCAGTACCAAATCACCACACGTGTGTGTTTACAATAGGGGCCTGTGGAATTTAATCTTGAGGCGCACATAATTCTTGAAAGCTATAAATATAAAGTTTCACAAGTTTCATTGACATCTCAACACCGGTATATTGTCACTTTTCACTACAAAAAAATATTACATCCGTGCGTATTTTCAGATTTGATGCATATTGCATGCTACTGTAAGGTTTACTCAGGTAAGTAAATTAATGAAATTTATAGCATACGTGATGTTTCTGCTAGGAATAAGGGAAACTGCCCAATCACGTATGATTGTTATGACCCCCCCCCCCTCCGATGATATCCACATTGACTTTTGTTAAAATTTAATTAGTGTTGCAATACATTTTAACTTCTTTACCTTATTTTAAACTTTATATAGTAATACTGGGTACCCTTGATTACTAGGCCTAGATGATTGTATCTTGTTTTACGTCCTTCTTGAGAATTTTTCTCTCGCATGGAGACATTGCCATTACCGGTGAAGTTCCTGGCGCGAGGGGATGCTCCGCTTAGCGGTGCTCTTGTTTTTTTTTTTTTGGTTCAGGGGAACTGATCCTCAACGACTTAGTGAAAAACAGGTGCATAGACTGCCTTCTCAATTACTACTTAGACACAAACTTTCTGTCGCAATAAAAAAGATTTGAACATAAAACTACATAAAATTTGGTTAAAGAATGTTCATAAGACAAAATATACGACCCCACCCCCCATCCCCCACCACCCACCCCCTTTTTAATTTTTTTTAAAAAATGTATGTAGAACTTTTATATATATATATATATATATATATATATATATCCTAAAATCAAAGAAAAAACATCTCTCATTTGTAAGAATTCGCGTCAGCCCCAGAACCCTGCCTTCTACTGCCCCCCCCCCCCCCCCCGCCCTGTTATGAAATTCCTGGATCCGCCACTGATAAAGATGTTTATTCGACCCAGACTAAAAATATCGCCAGGTACAAACTATCTCCTAATAAAAATTCAGGTGAATAATAAACTTGTGTTATGTAAATGAAATATTAATCTTTTTTATGTGCATGTGTCTTACTTCTTTAAAAATATTAATATATATCCCAAAAAATGATATACTAGTAGATTGTTACCAATGGTTACATAAATTGCTGCCAAAGAAACATTAATTGTTGTCAACGTTACATATTGCCAAAGTTAACTTGCCTTTTGCAAATGTTTCAGTAATTGTTGCAATTGTCACATTTAATGCTTTCAATCTTACACTAATTCCTGCCAATTTTATATAAAATGTCACCAACATCAATAAGGGGTCACTTTTTTTTTTTTGCATGTCAACTGAGTAGAGTCATACATTAAATGTTGTTTACTTAGTGGTGCATTCAGTGGTGTAAATTTCAAATTTATTGTTGCCA